ACCATTCCCATGAAATATTGAACCTTAGAACTTGTTCACCGGTTTACGTATATTCGCTATACTCAACAAATTTTTATGCAATGGTTTTACTTCCGTACCATATTTTATGCTCTAAATCAAGACACTTTTTTTCACAACTAGCTCGCAATCCTTTACTGTGTTTAAATTAAATCGTCAATATGTTTCATTAAATCATCACAACACTGTAAGTATACAACAAGACAACAGAAGGGTAGTAAAAAAATATTTAACACCAAAAACTCTTCTTTTTTTTTTTACTAAACTTAACGAATACGTATTTTTACATAAGCCTACCATACAAGATAATAAAATAAACTTTCTTCTTTTCCTATTTTCTTTTAAAAATGACTAATCTACACTGTCATCTGGTTAAAAAAATTTTTTTTATATATTATAATAACAAACAAAGGCATGACAAAAACAACTTTTTAATACACCACGATAACTCGTTTAATCTGTACCATAAAAATTTGTATCGTATTGTCTTAAAAAAATCATAACATTATATAACAATTACAGTGAAACGAGTGTTAAAAATCAACTAACAATAAAAGGGAATAAATATTATAAAATTTTATTTTAATTATATACATATTGAAATTAAATATGGACAAGTAATTAATTAACAAGATTAATCGTTTTTAAATTAATAAAAAGAAATTATGTTGTAAATATATAATTTGTGATAAAAAATGGAGATTTTATTTTGATCTTCTTTGAGAATATTCAAGTAAGATTTTTGATTAAATTTTATCTAAAATTCTATATCATTTTTTGTAAAAAGTCTTTTTGATATTTGTAAATATTTTAGAATTTCTTAAATGTAATCTATTTTGAAATTTTGCACCCTGATAAAAATATGATAATACTATAAATTTTTATAATAACTTCGATAAAATAATTAATACATAAAAAATATAATTATAATTTATCAAAATATTCTATTGTTCCACGAATTTGATGATGGTACTTTTTTAGAAAATAAAAGAGTTAATATTTTAATTATTAATACAAATCAATTAAAAGGATTACCTAATTAAATAGTTGCCCGCTATAACCCAACTCCAAATAGCTTTGCATGTGATTGTAAAAGTTAGTAAAATCATAAGGAATAAATCCGTGTAAGAGCTGAATAATATTCCCAATAATTTCATCTCTTGAATTAGGGCAGGGGTTTATTGCTCGATATTTATTTTTCAAGACTCCAAAAAAATTTTCGATGAGATTTAGCTGAGGTGAATATGGTGGTAGATATTCAATCCTATCTTTTATGCATCGATAAGATGGCTTCTATGGATAGTTGCATTATCCATTACAATAATTACATCTAGTTGTAAGACACTGATAAGTTCTGTCATAAAATCACGGAATAACAACCCATTATAAGCTCCTTTGATTATTTTATAATGGATTACCCCTCCAATTCCAATTGTACAAAGTATGCTTACATTTTTACCCTTAGAGGATGGAATTTTTATTATTGGACGTACATTACATGGTGCCCAGGCGTAGATTGGTACAACGTGCAAGTTTATTCTCTAAGAAATATAATTTTTCTCTTGGGGTATTTAAGATCTCTACACAATAGATTTGACGAATATTGATTGCCCCAGGAGTATTTCTTCTATCAGGCTCCGTGCCAGCTCTTTTTTTCAACCAACCTATATTTTTTATATATTTGCTAATTGTTGTTTTCGTTTTTGGACTACCAGGAGGTAAATTTTCTATTATCCGTAGTAAGAGTATTAATATCCATCAGTAAATTTATGATGCGTCTTTCAATTATGGAAGCATCTTTTTTTTACCTTTTTGGAATATTATATTCTTTTAAAGGATCTCCATTTATAACTGGGAATGTGACCTGTCTAAATTTAAGAACTGATGCTGTAGACATTTCGACGTATTTTTCAATGTCTTTAATTTTCATCTGTTCTCTTTCAGGCATTGTTATAATTTTAGTAACTATATCTATTTTTTCTTTATTCCAATATTTGTGTATTTTTGGTCTTGGAATTCTCAACGGAGATTAGGAGTTTTCATTTAAATTGGGAAAATTAATATTACTATTGGATAATAAAGATTCTATATTAAACATTATTTTTTTATTATTTAAGAAAAATTTAAACAAATTAACAAATATTTTTTACTTATTTAAGAAAAATTTATAAATTTTTAATTAAATTTCCAACACATTTCTTTTCAACGATTAATCTTATTAATTAATTGTCTATATTTAATTTCAATATGTATTTAAATAAAAATAAAACTTTATTATATTTATCCCTTTTTATTGTTAGTTGATTTTTAACACTCGTTTCACTGTTTATTAATCAAATTTATCCAAAATTAAAATTATTCAATAAAGTAAAATAAAATATGGAAGATAAAAAATTATCCATAAATTTAGAATATATATAGAACAGATATATTATAATTGAAAAATATAATACCCATAATAAAATATTAAATTAATAAATAAGTTTCCGCTAGATGGCGTAATATATCTATTTTATTTTTTAAATTAAAAATAAAGTGTATAGGAGCATAATTCTATGCTCTGGATTAATTCATTTCGTACAAAACTTATATAACGATAAAATGAAAAAAAAATTGAAGTTTTTTACATCCAACTCATTTTTTTTAAAAATATTTTAGGTTTCAAAAAAAATATATTATTTTTTCGACTCCTTTTGTGTAAAAACTTATAAAAACACAAAATAAATAAAATTTTGAAGTTTCCATCATTATTTTTGAAGTTACGATGTCCATTCTCAGTTTCGCCATTTTTTTAAAAGATTTTTGGGTTTTAAAAAAATATATTATTTTTTTGACTCATTGTGTAAACTAACTTATATAGTTAAAAACTATCTCAAGAGAGAATCTAATTAATATAGGGACTAGATGAATTATTGGACATGTCAAACTTAAAATTAAGAATCTAGCATATTTAAAAATTGGTTCCGCGTCAATTCGGTGCGAAAAATTTGGTGCGGCCTCAGTTCAGCGCGGCGACACTTAGGCGCAACGACAATTCAGCGTGTATCGAACACAGCTGCAATTTATTATAAATTTATTAGTATTAAAAAAAAGGATGATTAAATAGAAGTCATTTTGAATGTTAGTCCTATTAATTATTTCTTTATTTTTTTTTTACAAAAATCTCAATTTTATTTACTATATGTGTAATATCAATAAAAAATTTAATAATATCCAAAAAAAATTACCAACCAATATTTATGCCGATTACTTTGGTGGACCAATTTATTATAATGTATGTTGATTAGTAGATGTATCCCTGGAGAATTTCCGAATAGAAGAATGAAAGAAATAAAGAAAAAGAAATCTTTGGACCCCTATCTCTACTCTTACATATTATTGGTAAAATCATAATCGCCCATTTTTAAAAATACATATTTATATGGACAAAATATACTGCTGTAAAAAAATGATTACTTTTATTATAGACCTATTATGATAATACAATTATATTAGTGATCATCTACCAAATCTATATATTGTTAACCATCTTAGACATTATTTTCCAATATAAACCTTCTACTATCCTTTTAAGTATATATTTTTTTAAGGGTTAGAAGATATAATCAGTATTGAAATTTAAAAAAATTTGATTTTTTTAGCAAATTTTGATTGTTTTTTAACCACTTGCTATATGACGATCAACTATGATATTCCCTAGGCCCTGGGCACGATATAGAGCAGACCGCAACACCAAAAATTAGGGAATATTATGAGAAATGAATATAATTTTTTACTATAAAAATTCCAACAGTTTGAAAATTGTAGAGAATTAGATATTCTCAAGTATAATAACCTTTTAATCTTGTATCACTTATATTGGTTTGACTTGTCTTAAAAAAGTCATAACATAATATAAAAATTATATTAATCAAATTTATCCAAAATTAAAATTATTCAATATAGTAAAATAAAAAAAAATATTGGAAGATAAAAAATACTCCATAAATTTATAATATATATATATAGAACAGATATATTATATTAAAAAATATTACACCCATAATAAAATTATAAAATTATAAATAAGTTTCCGTTAGATGGCATAATATATTTAATTTTGTTTTTTTTAAATTAAAAATAATGTGAATTATAGGAGCATAATTCTTTGCTCTGGATTAATTTATTTTCGTACAAAACTTATATAACGATAAAATGAAAAAAAAATTGAAGTTTACATCATTATTTATGGAATTATAATGTCCATTCTCAGTTTAGTTTTTTGGGTTTTTAAAAAAAATATATTATTTTTTTTGACTCATTTTGTGTATTACTTATATAAACATAAAACTATCTCACGAGAGAGTCTATAAAAGGGAAGAAAGAAAGAAAGAAAGAAAGAAAGAAAGAAAGAAAGAAAGAAAGAAAGAAAGAAAGAAAGAAAGAAAGAAAGAAAGAAAGAAAGAAAGAAAGAAAGAAAGAAAGAAAGAAAGAAAGAAAGAAAGAAAGAAAGAAAGAAAGAAAGAAAGAAAGAAAGAGATGAATTATAGGGCATGTCAAACTTAAAATTAGGAATCTGTCATATTTAAAAATTATCCTGTTATAGATTTTAGATATGTAAATCTTCACATATAATTATTAATTTTATATAAGACAAAAAAGATTTGATAACAATTTTATAATTAATATTTTTGTCTTTGGTTTCAATTATGACTATATACTTGTATATATCACTAGAAAATCTATAAATTTATCAAAACATTTTAATTAATTATAAAGGCTAGTTGCACCATATAAGATACCAGCATACTATAACCTTATCCTATAATAGTTATATGTAGACTTTATAAAATTATCATAATAATGTTCTAGGTTAATATTTTTTAAAAAAAATATCTATATGTGACTATTGAATTTCAGTTTTATAAACAAATTTGTAAAATGCATTAAAAAATACAATTTGTCAGTCCGAACAACCTGCTAATTATTTTTTATAACTCAGGTTTTCTATTTTTATTATTTAAATAGGATTATATATATATATTCCAAAAAAAAGACAATACATATTACGAAATTTTTTATTATTTAAATATTATTTTATATCTACAAAGATCCAATTTTTTCTTGAAGTTTAATTAGTCTTCATCTTATAATATTCTATTTTATTCATGCTGAAGCTGATTATTTCGAGAAATACACTAAACTATGCAAGTTAGCAGCACAATATTCTCCTCTATTTTATTGCGCTAATCACGAAAGTACGTATAATGGTATGCTAAATTTATTATTTAAATAATATTATATATATATATATTCTTAAGGATTCTACTTTATAAAAAAAATACTTGCCAAATTAGTTCCCCTAATATTATTCATTAAGATTCGCAATATATTTATTATTTTGAATATTACTTTTTAATTCACATTTGTTCCTGCTCAATAAAATTAGTTACTGAAATTACACTCATTTACGTTACGGCAATACATATTGATAATATATTTTTTTATTTACCTCCTCAGCCTTCATAATTATGTTATCATTTTATTATTTTAAAGACTATGATATCTCATGATTTTCCATCCATCACCATTTGTTACTCATAACTACTTGTGATCTATGGTCATTTCTAATGCCGTGCCAGATTTAATTCCTGTATTTTTATTTTAAGATAGTTTAATGATTATATAATAAAGGAAATGGTGTTAAAAAATAACTTTACTGGCTCTTTGTCAGATTAAATTCAATATAAAGGTTTATAGGTAGATTAAGTGGATTCTGTTTTTATTCTAAATAATTATAGAGGGAGGAGGAAATCACTATTGTTGTTTATTTTTCTAATATTTATGAAGAGGAAGAATTTTGATTTATCAAATTAGGAACAGAAATTAGTGAGTGTTGTATCTGTCAATTTGTGGTTGACATTTATCTACCTTTTTCTTATTATATTTTCTATAGAAAAGATGGACTTTTAATTTTCTTTGTTTGACCAATATTGGTATATCAATAAATAAATATAATAATATAAACAGGATTATATGAAATATTGGGTTGTGATAATGATTAAGAAGGGTAGGAAGTTACCATTTAGGAAAATAGGTTTATTCAATCTTTAAAAATATATTCACAAGTGGGTTAATCAATTAATTCCATCCACCGTTGTATAAATTGTTAAAGAAAGGAGAAAAATTTGAATGGAAGAATGAACAGGAGGAGGCTTTTGACGGTTTGGAATCTAGAATTGGGAGAGAACCAATTCTAATGTGTTTTAATAATGATTTAAGAGTGGTGTTAGTCGTAGATGTGTCCAATAAAGGTGTAGGAGGAGCGTTGTTACAATGTGTAGACGGCATGGAAAGACCTGTTTTGTTTTTCTCAAGAATTTTTAGGGCGGAGGAAACTAAATATTCGGTTATAGACCAAGAAGCGTTGGCTGTAATTTTTGGACTGACAAAATGCCGAGAGTAATTAATAAAAGATAGATTCATGGTGTATACGGATCACAAACCGTTGGTGCATCTTTTTAGGAAGGATAATAAAGAGCTAATGTTGTGGCCTACAGAGATGGTTATTGCTGGTGGGTAGTTTTGACTTACAATTGAAATATCAGCGGGGAATAGAAAATTATTTACCGGATATTCTTATGTGGAGAGGGATGGAATGCCGAAGATAGTGAGTCAAATGGTTTGGAAGAGGAGGATGAGTACGGATTGATTAAGGCTATGGTAGGAATATTTAAAGGAGGACCGGTAACGTGGGAACAACTTATGAGTGCCACATTAAAAGATCGCGAATTAACACGTGTCAAAGCATGCATGAATGAGCTGAAAACATAGTGAGATGGAGACAAACAGATATATAGAAAAAGAATTGGCCATAGTGGATGAATATGTGGTACGAGGGAATAGAGTTGTAGTGGCATTCAAATTAAGGGATGCTGTGTTGACAATGATTCATGCGGGGCATCAAGGAGTGGAGAAGATGAAACAATGGGGCCAATAATATATGTGATGGCCAGGCATGAATATAGATATCGAGAATATCAGTAGGAGTTGTTTGTTGTGCAATACGTGGGCCAAGATGCCCCATAATGCCAAGAAAAGTGTTGGCCAAAGGTTACCTAGCTGTGGGAGCAGATACACTTTGACTTTGACTATGACTTTGAAAATAAGATTTATATACTCGTGGTGGACGTGTACTCAAAATGAGTAGAGTATGAGGAAGTAAGGGGGTTAACGACTCAAGTGGCCGTGAAAACATTGAAAGATCTATGGGCCAGGTTTAAAGTAGGACAAACGATAGTATCTGACGGAGGTCCGGCGTTTATCAGTGTACAATTTTAAGCGTTTTGCGTAGAAACTGGTGTATAAGATCACCTCCATATCATCCGAACTCCAATGGTCAGGGGGAGAGGATGGCATCGGTTATCACGAACTGGTTAAAAAAAACAAAGTATGGAGGTGAGAAAATTTGGATAGCCGTGGTATATAATAACAACAGTCGAAAGGGGGAAGAACAATCTCCAGCAGAGAAGTTTTTAGGAAGGCAAACCAGGTAATTATAGGATTTATTAAAGCGGAAACCGATTCAAGAGGTGAAAGAGGACATAAGGGAGATGCTTGAGTTTGTAGTGGGACAGAGCTTATGGGCCAGAATATATGGTGGTACAAGGAGATGGTAAATCGGGATGATAGTGCAAAATATTGGACACAAATTAAATCGAGTAAAACACCGACGGGATAGAGGGAATATGGCATCGGGATCAATTGAAAAGGGGCGTTAAACCTGGGAGGTTAAAATCGGGAGTATGAATAGAATGAATTAATTTATCGGAGATTCGCGGTAGGAAAATTATCTTAATATATCCGAAGTAAATCTAAGGGCACAACTACACCAAATGGTTTATCGGAGGTGCAAATGATAGAACCCAAGTCAAACCAAGACGTGATTTCTACAGGGAAACAACTATGTCATCGAACAAAGAGGGAAGATTCAAGCACCCAAAGAACAACGATAAGAATGTTACAGAGCAAATTAATGAAAATACGATGAAAGGCTATAGTTATTGGAAGAGGCCGGGTGCGAGGTGAAGTGAGTAGTTTGATTTTCAATTAGTGGGGGGTGTGTTATGCGGAGTCATTCTTTTTATGTTAAATTGCGAAGTCATTCTTTTTTTTATGATGAATATTTTTTTTGCAGTGGCGTCGCTAATAGAGAATTATTAACAATTTATGTTTTTAATAATATCCTATATGAAATAGCTGAGAGTAGCGTTATAAAATTTGCAGTTGTGGGGAATTATATATTCGCATCTCTCGATATATTGGATAAGGTATATAAGATTTCTGTGTCATTTGATCAATGTACCTGTGGATATCTTACGACAATGCTCCTACCTTGTCGGCATATTATGGCTTTAGGGGCATTACATAATTTTGATAAATATTGCCCTCAACTTTGCAGCAAGAGATGGTCAAAAGCATATTCTATATCTTATAATCCTGATATAGACAAAGTGGGCCTCCCTAATATTAACTTCACTCAAACACATATTTCCATTAAAAAAAAAATTATCACAGAAATATAAATATAATAAAATGATACAAAAATTAACAGCCCAGGCTGATTTTTTCTAGCATTTATCGCAAGATAACTATTTTGTTTACAAAAAACTTGATAATGGAGAAATGTAATCAGGATGACAAATTGTTATATATAATCCCACTCATAATGGTATTTTATTTTATAAAATTATAAATATATTAAAAATTATAGATCTTGCCTCGACCTCTTATCCATACCTTAATGTTACCTCAGCCTCTTCCCTCGATAATGGTATTTTATTTTATACGAAATTATAAATATTTTAAAAGCTATAGATCATGCTAGAACCTTATATCCATAACCTAATGCTACCTCAACCTCTTCCCTCGATAATGGTATTTTATTTTATATAAAATTATAAATATTTTAAAACCCTGTTAGAATTTACACAAAAAGGCTTGATTATAAAAAACAGGGTTATGTTCAAATCTTAAAAAAAACAGGCTCCATTCGGGGGCACCTAGCCTATAATTTTATATATTTACCCCCATTGCACCTAACCTATAATTTTCTTATTTACCCCTAAATGGGAGCGTGCAGCCTCTGCCTGTTTAATGATTTTAGGCAATTCAGCCAACCTATAATGCAGTAGAAGAAGATGCAGAGGTCATGCTCACTTCTTCTGAAGGTGATTTATTTTACTTTATTATATTAAATTTAATTTTTTAGGTCCAAATCAATTCAGCTTGCAAATAATAATAAATCAGCAGGAGAAGTAGCTATGGAAGTGTTATATATTATTATATGAATATAATACACCTTTTTTTTCAATCCTTTAAATAAACATAATTAATAAATCTATTTTAGATGATGATGATTTTCCAATAATAGATATAGCAATGCTCTAATTGATTTACAACAATATAGTTTTTATATATATTTAATATGCAATATAGATATGAATCATGTCTATTATTCGGTGTTAATATTTTATATAAATGCATATTGTATTATGCTTGTGTTATTATATTATTCAGTGTATAAATACTTAAAATAAATCATTTATTAATATATAAAGAAGGCTTTAAAACTAAAAATAAAAAATCTAAAGTCTATTATTTTGATAGGACACTTATCAAATGAGTGAATGTAAAAGTTATTATTTAAAATATAAATAATTTTAAAAAAACCTTCATTTACTATGAATGAATTTTTATAAGAAAGAAAGATATGTTGTTTGTCATACTTTTAAATTAAATTAACAAAAATTAATTTATAAATTGAAAATATATAAATACCATATTTAGGATTTAAATGATTCATATTATATTAGGCAATAACAACATATCTATTGCTCTAGATTATAATTTTATATAAATCATTTTTAAATATATTTAAGAAATTAATATTAAACATTATATTTAATTAAAAATATACTAAATATTTACCATATCAAAATGAACAAAATAATAGTATTTTATTGACAATATTTAAAGAAGGTAGAGTTTATTTAATGGCAAAATATATTAATACAATATACAAAAAATTAGTATTTATAAATTGACAATATATAAATACGGGTATGACTAAAATACGCCCTACCGAAAACTACGAGCCTCTTCGTGCCCCCTATGAAAGAAGCTTAATTTAAATAATATTATTTTAGAATCGCAAGCGTTATAAGATAAGGCAGAAAATGTTTTTTTTCCATTTAAAAAAAAAATTATAACATAGTAAAATTTTTATAAAATTATTTTTTTACATGACTAAAATACGCGCCCCTACACGCCTCCTATCAAAGAAGCTTAATATAAAAAATGAACGCAGAATCATATAGAGCTTATTAAAAGGTATAAAAAATGTTAATATTATACTTTAAAACTTATTATAACCTAGTGGGCTTTTGAAAAACAAATTATTTTTTTTGACAAAACTACGCGCCCCCCTATCAAAGAAGCTTAATTCATAAAAATATTAAGCAGAATCGGATTAAGCTCATTAAAAGGAATCAAAAAATGTTAATATTAAGTTTATAAATTATTTATAACTTATTGAGATTTGGAAAAAATACTTAATTTCTTCTTTTTTTGACTAAACTCCCGTTAAATATACTTTTTTGATAATAAAAATATTTATTTAAATAAAATAAATAATACCATTTTCTGAATCTCCTTGAAAAGTTATACATAATTCTGTATTCATTTAAAAAAAATAATGTATATTTAAAGGAGGCGCATAGCATGTAGTTTAGTCAGAAAAAGAAGAAATTAAGTTTTTTTCAAATAATAAGTTTTAAATAATTTATAAACTTAATATTAACATTTTTAGATTCCTTTTAATGAGATTAATACAATTATGCTTTATTTTTTAAATGAATTAAGTTTCTTTGATAGGGGACTTAGTTTAGTCAAAAATTATTTTTTTGATAATAAAAATTTTTTAAAAAATAAATAAATAATACCATTTTCTGAATCTTTTTTCAAAGTTATACATGATTCTGTATTCATTTTGTAAAAATAATATATATTTACCGGGAGCGCGTAGGGGGCGTTGTTTAGTCAAAAAAGAAAAAATTAAGTGTTTTTTCCAAATCTCAATAAGTTATAAATAATTTATAAACTTAATATTAACATTTTTTGATTCCTTTTAATGAGCTTAATCCAACTATGCTCTATTTTTTTTATGAATTAAGCTTCTTTGATAGGGGGCGCATAGTTATGTCAAAAAAAAATTTTGTTTTTTCAAAAGCCCACTGGTTATAATAAGTTTTAAAATATAATATTAAATTTTTTTATACCTTTTAATAAGCTCTATATGTTTCTGCGTTCACTTGTTATAAATTAATCTTCTTTGATAAGGGGCGCGTATTTTAGTCATGTTAAAAAATAATTTTTTAAAAATTTTACCATGTTATCTATTTTTAAAAATGAATAACATTTTTTGCCTTATCTTATAAAGCTAAATACGATTCTAAAATAATATAATTTACGTAGGAGCTCGTAGTTTTCGGGGGCGCGTATTTTAGTCATGCCCTTTATAGGTTCCACCTCTAAATAGCGAGCAGCAAAATAGCGAGATATTAAATGAATGAAAACCTAAAAAGTTTAAAATATAATATTAAAAAAAATGTAAATTATTTTAAAAATTATAAATATATAAATCATTTTAAAAATTATAGATATATAAATCATTTTATTATATAATTATAATATATTAATACTGTTGTAAAAATTATTTTATTATATAAATTATTTTTTTATTATAAAACTATTATTATAAATGTATATAACACATAATTTTTATCATTGTTTTAAATTATTAATATATAAATTGTTTTAAATTATCAATATATAAATTGGTTTTAATTATAAATGAGCACATATATCTATTATAAATAATAACTATAATTTTTCAATATTAAAATTTTTGAGTTAGGCATTAATTTCTGGGGGTAAGTATTTATTTTTGAAGGGTAATCTTTACTTGTATTATGATGTTTTTAAATCCAATAATTGATAAACCAAATATACCTCTTTAAAAATTAATCATCTTATATTTTTACAATTTATAGAAATGAAAATGAGTTATCACACTTAATCTAAAAATAAAGTGATTATCAACCAAATGATAAAAAGATTGCACTATTAAAATATATATATATTTCTTATTTTTAGAAAAAGGATAGTAACATATTAATTATAACCTACAAATTTGAAAATCCTTATCTCCTAAGGCTTAAAATATTGTTAATAGAAATATGTTATAAGGTTGTATATGGTGGCTTACTGTAATATTCTTTTTATTATTATCACTAATGCATTATGGATTGGCAAATATCGCGGCCAAAGGGCGATATATTTTAGGGGGTAAGGGGTAGATTTTGGAAAGTGGCTTGCATCCATCAAATTTTCTACCATGTAGATGTTGGTTATTTTTATTATATTATAAACACATATATTACAATTTTATTTAAATCATTTGTATATTTTATTAGGGGGGAAGGTACCTTTTAATAGCATGTGGGGATAGGGTAGGGGGTATTTATTTTCTCTCATGTATACACCAGTGGCGTAGTCAGGATTTTCTCATGGGTGGTGGTGGGGGGGGGGGTTTGTGATAAATTTATGTGTAAAATGAATATATTTGATACCCTTTCCCTTTAATTAGAGTCTAATATTTTTTTAATGTAATTAAAATTAGTTTCTATAGAATTATAAATTATTGTTACTTTTCAGAAATAGTATTATTCTGATAATGGCTCATACTTGAACTTTAACTGCTGCAAATGGCCAATACTCAAAATTGATAACTAATCCTCTAATAGTAAATGATTATAATTCTATTTTCCTACTCTTTTATTTAATGTTTTATCAGTACAATATAGGGTTTAACTTCATAAATTAATTTTATTAGTCAAAGTTGTGTAGCCAGGATTTTCTTATGTGAAGGGGGGGGGGGTTTAAATGTTTTTTAGTAGGCTTTAGCCCTAATATTTTATTTTTTATGAACACTCAATTTCTTATATCTTAGATTATGTTAAAATTATCTTAAATATTTGCACATAATAAAATTTTAAAGAGTATTATAGATTTTATTTATTATATAAAAATAAAAATACTTTAGCATATAGTATTAATTGCATAAATTTTAATAGTTAATACAAAAATTATATAAATGTTATAATTAAGAATTCAATTGACGAAAAAATTTGATGGCTAAAATAATTAATAATGATTTGATATTTGGCAGGGAACTAAAATACAATTACACATGGAAAGGGCCTGAAGAACATTTTTTGATCTCTAAGAATGCTCTCTTCTGTCAAGATTTTAATACCAAAATTCGACATCACAAAGTAACTTATCATATGATGTGTTAATTAGTCTAGTTCTTCCTACTATTTGAGATATCAGAGACACCAATTTTTATTTAATGTGTTAATCTATTTTTATTTATTAAAAAATATTATAAAAAGGTGAATGATATTTGTTCTATAATTTTTTAAAACATATCTTATTTTTAAAAATTTATTGCAAAAAAAAGAAATATAGTTCAATAAATAGTTACCGACTCTTGTCTTTCAATGAATCTAGTGGGACAAAATCTTTTTAGTTTCTTTTTTTTGATATCAAATTTTAAAAAAATCTATTTTTTATAGGGGGGTTGAACCCCAACCCCCCTTCTCCCATGCCTACGCCAATGGTATACATAAGTTATGTATTAAATATTTTCAGAGTTGGTTCTACAATCAAATAACAAGCTTCCTCTCTTTTTTAGTTATAGATATTCTATTAATTAGCTACTATTTTTGTAAAAGTAACTACCGATATATTTTTTAAAAAATGTAGCGCGCTACTGTTAACAACATAATTTATGGTGAATAGTTATAACGATGACGAAACTAGTGAAACAATTGAAAAACATATATCTCTCACTTAATTTATTCAAAAGGTAAAGCAAAAAATGATATTCAGCAGCCAGAGTGGCATGATTATTGTACTTCATAAATATATTCATCTATGCAGAATCAAAGTTATTCAAATATCCGCTTATTAAACCCAATAGCGAGTATCAAAATAGCGATATATGATTATCTTTTTATCTATTTTATATTCGTATTATAGTTATAATATAAATGTAAATCTCTATATTATATAGTTACGATGTTGTTACGTCATGTCATCACTACGTAGTGTCATAGTGACGTCATGCTTTATTTATTTTATTCTAAAAATTAACTTAAAAATATTTTTATAAATTATATTGGGCATAGCTTTGGGAAAATTCCGCTTGCTTTAAACAAATTTTTTGCAAGCCTGGGCTTGCAGGCCAATGAAAGTCTGATATAGATTGTATTTTTAACATTATGATTTTATAAATATTTTATTACAGCTCTCAACTACAAAAATTTTCATGATCGTTAGTTGGGCTTGGTGAATTTTTTTCAAAATTATTATGGCCTTGGACATTGCTTGGAAATTTTTTTAATATTAAATATTAGGCATATGATCAGTAATATTTTTAAAAGCTTAATATATATTTTGACTTAAAACATAGTATTTACTTGGTTTTAATGGATTGGACCTGGCCTGAAGAGATAGGTGGGTTATAAAGAATATAAATTGGATATTATTTTGAAATAACTGGTATCAACTATCATAAAAGTAAGGATTCTCATTCCCCGTTAATTTTGTCGAGCTATCTACTAGTATATATAAATTTTCATATTAAAATTATATACTAATATTTGTTATCACGAATATATTTTTTAAGATGGGAGATAGGGAGTATCTTTTCTCTCATATTTATGCTGTTAAGATGCAAATTACATTTTATAAAAAAATGAAAACTAAATAAACTGCAATGTTGCCTTCTCAAATATATATAAAAATTATATTTAAAATATTTATAAATAAATATTAAAATAAATCGAATATCATGAGTTATATATTAGAAATTAGAGATAAGTGGTTAAAAGATACTTTTTAAATGTATATAGATTGCTTTAAGTAATTTTCTTTTTTTCTCGTGTTCAAAGTTAAGTCATTGTTATCATTAATATTATGATTTTATTTTTTTTGTGATAATAAATATTAATTTTTTTAAATTATATATAAGATGTTTAAAATAAGATTCATTATGAATTTTTTTTAAATAAAATAATATATCTCGAAATATCAATTCAGAACTTATATAAAATAAAATATTTAAACCAGTGTGAAATAATTAAGAACTGGGAAATTAAATAAAAAATAAATAAGAAACAGGAAATAGATAGATAAAATACTCTAATATTAGGTTAGCATAAACTAAAATTGGAATTTTATTGTGAAAATTTATGAAATAAGCTAAAAAATTTGTTGAATCTCGATATCACATTTATCTAAATATAAAAAATATCTACTTTATTACTAAAAAGTTCATAATACACACGCAAACAATTATTTGAATTTATATTTCATATTAATATAATATAAAAAAAAAGGTTATTTAAATAAAAATATAATAAATGGGAAAAGATTTATAAGAATCGCGAGTTAAGATTGCAATTTGATTAAATAGGATATATTATCTAAAAAAATAAACACATCCATATCCCGTTCGTAAAGGGAATATAAATTATCTATTAAAATATTAAGTTCAATATATTTTCGATTTTTTCTATTTATATTCAACCCGCTATTAATTTGTATATATTTGAGCTCACTCGAGTGTTGGTGACTTTTTAAAATATTTATTAAAGAATAAATATTAGGATGCGCGCAGCGTGTTTTGTGCTTCAAGCTATGATGATAGCCCTCTAGATGGTTGTTTGCCCTAGGACCATTAACTTGATATCTAATTATAAATTTATTTTGTATATACACATTAAAAATTTTAATACCTTGTCCATAGGCTATGGGGAAATAAAGCGTTAATGGAAAGCCATGTCAAATCCATATATTGCATAAATTGTATTAGCAAAGGATTTTCAAGCGACATGGCAAGACATGATGACCTAACTTCTGAAATATCTTCCTCCCGGCAAAAGGGTAAAGTAGTCATACGTCTGACTACTTTGTGGACAGTGGTATTGTCTCTATATTCTTTTGTTAACCCTAATCCCTGACATTTTCGCCATATTGCTTGGGAAAAATGAAAGAAACAGCCTATAAAAACTTATAATAAATACACGTAATAAATTAACCTTTAATGACCATTGTAGGGAAAACAAATCTTAAAGCTGATATTGCAGCAGCCTCATAATCAGTCTGCCCGTATCTAGGATTAAACATAATATTATTTTCACCACAGCATCTTAGAATTATTTGAAATAATTCTATATAGGTGGCCCTGGTTTTATCGGAAAGAAGGGCATAGATTATAGGTATCATAGTCTCACGATATAAGACATGAATTGTGTATAGTGGGTAAAATAGTCTTGGCACAACATAAAATGTGCCATCCATATATATGGTATCGTTATCACATGTTTCAATGATTTTTAGCATGCTCGATGTACCAAACACCAATATATTATTATTATTATCATTATTGATTAAAAATATATCCCCCCTATTTGTGGTGATATATTCGGGCAACAGAACTATATCATCCATGGACTGTGGCAAAGTGGGCCGATTTTTTTGTAATAATCCATCTATTTTACTTTTTATTGAAATGTATGTGGGCATAGCCTCTGGATATAAATTTATATTTGGTGTTTCCAAAAATCTTTTGTTTAAAACTTTTTCATAAATATTATGCCGAGTTTCTAGAGGATTTTCAGCAATAACATCCTCTAAAACTTGATATGTCCTAAGCTTTTCAAAAACACCAATTTCATTCTGATGTTCATGCAAACCAGAGGTTATATAGATTCCATCAAGTTTGCATGAAGCTTTGCAACCAACTATTCTGCAACGATAATGAACTCGGTCACCTTTTTGATAATCATGCCGATATAAATAATTTTGAAAAAATAGAAGTCGTTTTCCTTTTTGAGAATTTATAAACTGAGGATCTTAATAAATAGAAAAATTATATATTAATAAGGGCTCCAACATTAATGAAAAAATCAGACAGAACAAGATACTTTAAAAAAAAATTTGAGCAAATAAATAACTTATCATTTAAAGATGTGTTAAAATTTTTTAAAATTATTTCAAGGTCATGCCTAAAAACAATTTAAAACATCTCTATGCTATATTAAATATATAGGATTATAATATTATGTGACAATATGTATTTAATTAAAGCCATTTATATTTTTACCATTTATATTTTGATGCAAATCCATTAATACATGGGCCACTTCTAAAGGCAGATCCGTATTACCTATAAATATATTTTAGATATATTGTAAATTAGTGTATAAGATACTTTCAATGCCAACATTTGAATTTTGATAAGTTCCTGAATTACCTAGATTTGAAATAAAGGTTTGATAGGCTCTGGCAAAGCCAGAGGTAGTTTGAGGGGCTATTGAAACTTGGGCTAATAATTTTAAGTTAATTTTAATATAAGTATATCATAAATACCTTGATGTGTAATGGCTTGGCCAACTGAACTGAAAGGTGGAGGGGCTAATGCTTATGCTAAATCTTTAAATCTATGTTAAAATTATTGTAAGGATAGCTTGATTTGCATTAGGAGTTATGGCTGCTACCAAGTTGTGACATTCTAAAGATTGGATGGTGATAATTAAATCGAGACCAATCATTAATTTGGCTCTACCACCTCATCTTTTGCGACAAATTAGGTAAACGGCCTTTTTACCACTTGTATGGGCCAAATATTCATGTCCTTGGTAGCATATATAGTCCTTTTTCTTCTGTGTTTGCTGAAAACAAAAATAATAAATATATAAAATGGTTTATTACTTTTATTTCAAGTTGTTTATATTTAAGATAATTTTTAAGATTATCAGCTACAGTTAGTAAGGTAAACGACCTTTTTACCACTTGTATGGGCCAAATATTCATGTCCTTGGTAGCATATATAGTCCTTTTTCTTCTGTGTTTGCTGAAAACAAAAATAATAAATATATAAAATGGTTTATTACTTTTATTTCAAGTTGTTTATATTTAAGATAATTTTTAAGATTATCAGCTACAGTTGGAATCATATCAAAAATATGGCGGCCATTTTTGTGAATATTCTTCTGAGTATTATTGTGATTATTCTCATTTTTCGCTATTTTTGATGCTCGCTATTTAGGTCTCTTACCCCCTTTATATATTTTATTTTTCGCTATCTCTATTTCGTACAGGTGTTACACAAATTCAGTGATGGAAATAGGAGAAATTATTCCACATTTATCCTTTGAAACAAATGAAATAGACTTTTATGACTTTAAAATTCATGAAATACTAGAAATAAGTCAAACCCTCGTAAAGTTAGTTTGTACTTATAAAGATTTTACAGATAAAATATTAATTACCATCATAAAATCTCAAATTAAATTAACTGATGTCTCTTGCTTAAAATTTAGTGTTTTAATTCCAGAAAATATTAGTCTCAACTATGAATTTGATATAGAATTACCTCTATCCATGAATAGTATAATATATTCAATTTTATATTAAAAACAGGCTTAGAAGCACAGGTTTTATGTAAATGCCCATACTATCATCACGATTTTAAAAAATTGTATGTTCATGAAGAAGCACCATATATATTTCGTCCATTTATTCCTAATAAAGATAAGGCAAATAAATTTTGATTGCTTTTAAATATATGATAATTTATTATAGCATCGTAGTAATAATTGGATATATAATATATTGAATGGCAAAGCAATACATGAAAAAATAATTTACACCACAAAATCAATTCCACATAAATTTGGATTTATACTGCTTCAGGATATGAAATGGGATGGGGTGTCTGAAAAATTTAGCTTTATCGCAGTAATCAATGATAAAATCACAAAAAATCTCAGATATTTAAGGCAATCCCATTTACCACTCCTTGAAAATTTAAAAATTTGCCTCAATGTATTATATATTAAAATAATAATAAATAATAATTTTTTAATTAGATTATATCAACAATTTTACATATGCCCAAATATAAAATAATAGCATTTTTTCGATACCCACCCAAAGCTTCACACTTACAGTTATTTATTGAATCTTATGCTCATCACATTCCTCGTCATTCATATTATTTGTCTGAAGTTATACAAAACATCCATATAAAAAGTGATTATTATGCAGATAAAACATTTACATTGCATTTAAGGGAATCAGCAAATTTAAAATCATATAATCAAACACCAGTTAATTAATCTTTATTTAAATATATCAAATTAATTATTGAGTCCTTATATTTTATATTTTTTTTGTTAACATTTTATTTTATTATTTTGCCTATATTATATTATCTATTATGGAAATAATATAGATTTAAGCATTCCTACATGAGTGGCTTAAATTATATTTGCATGTTAATCACAGATGAAATGTTTATAAAGGGGATTAATTTTAACAAGTTTTACAGCTAAATAATGGCATATAACAAATATTCACAATTATAGTTAAAAAGAACCTTATAAAAGTGAGCATTAACCCATTTTGTCAAAGTACCATATCAGCTACAGTTTATTTATTTTTCACATACAAATTTTTTGAATCAAAATAATTTCACATGATATTTTATTTTTTAGTGTGCCACTGAATTTTGACAATTTAGGACTATTACATTACTACTTCTAGACTTTTTTTAAATTGTAATTAACATAAATTTATTTCTTACAAATGCCTTAACCTATTCTAAATTAATTTTGTTTGACCTATCATTCCATCTACTCTCCAATTTATAATCATGTTTTTAAGTACACCATTATGGTGATGCTGACCACCATTTTTCTCCCCTTTATTTCACCTTTTCTGGTGGTAAGCTCTTTCAATCTCTATTCACTTTATTACTCATACTATATATATTTTTATATTTCCGATTGATTCCATTTAAATCTCCCACCAGAGTATTGCTATCGAGGCCATTGTATCTTGGTCTCGCACTGAAATATCAATAACGACAGATATCCCTATTCCTCACCACCAATGCATCAATATCGACAGATATCTCACAGGAGTATTCTTACCAATTCCATTGTAAGCTTGATCTCCAACATCGGAGTATCAATCCACTGGAGTATCGTTATTAAGTCCATTGTAGCTTGGATACATTGTGCTTAAATGGCCCCGAGATCATCATTATCCTAGCCCTGGCCAAGAGATCCTTATCATCCTTGAATTACCTACAAGTTCAGCTGGCCATCTTATTAAGTTTATTGGACAAGTATCCTAGCACCCGGCTGTCCAATTATGTCAGTGACCAGGGTGGCATTTCTCAGCTCAGAAAATCATCTTATATGTTTGTACACATCCGTCATCGAAGAAAACCCCGAAATTTTTTAGTTCCTTACCAGGATTAAACCTTGGACCTTCGGTTTACAAGCATACATCATACACCACGTCGACATGCTGGCCACTATATAAGTGTAAAATAATTTCCGTTTTTAATACTATTTTTTTATCAGAATATTTTTATTTTTTATAAATAAAATTCATTATTTTATTATATTCTCATGAAATTTTTCATATAAAAGTTTGATAAATTTAAATGTATTATACAAAAAGAATGGCAGGTGGTTTAGATGGGTTCAGGCCAGGTTTTTTTGTTGATTTAATCCATTACCTTGATAATGGTTTCATTGACCCTTTACCAAAATCATTAACCGAGATTTGTAATAATATCCTAATACCTGAAGTTCCCTTTTGTATATGCCATATTCTTTTTGGTACACATGTTTTTTAACAAAACTTGATTGTGGTATTAGACCCATAGCCATAGGATTATTTTTTCGTTAATTAGTTGTCAAGGTTATAGTAAATAGGATCTGTTCTAAGGCCAGTTCCCTCCTATTACCCTCACGGTTAGGTTTTGGTGTTAGAGGTGAAATGGCATCACATGTAGTGCATAATTTTTTATCACTGAGGCGGATAATTTTTTCTGCAAGTTAGACTTCAAAAATGCTTTCAAGAACATTCATGAGAGCTCATCTTTATCCTCTTTCCTACAAATTTCCAAAAATATTGAAATTCCTTAATTCCTACTATGAATTTCACTCGTTACTGGAATTTTCTATATCACCTGAGCAATACGATTCACTTGGTCCCCTGCTTTTTATATGGGTATTCAGGATTTGATCAAAAATTTAAAGCTTAATTTCAAATCAGACCCAAATTTATGGTTTCTCGACGATGGCTCTTTAGATCTTTACCCAATGTTATGTCGGCCATCGAGTATGTTGAAATGGAATCTTCTAAAATTGATCTTTCCATAGAAAAAAATGAGAGATGCCTCCCTCAACATTAAGGATATTATCCCTCCCCCAAACTTTAAAATCATTTCTCATAAGGACTCTGTCTTCTAGATTTTGAACGATCTACTTTTAGCTTCGGTTAAACAATTTTGGCTTACTCTAGTTCAGCAAGGGTCCGATCACCCCACTTCCAGCTATTTAAAGATCCTAGTTCCCATGTTTCAATGTGTTTTTGGAAAACTTTGTTTGTCTCCCGATCTAACTAATCTTCAACTACTCAGGAACGCAAAAAAAAATCCTAACGGCTAAGAATAGATAGACGCGATCCCGAGTAGGAAAAGGGAAATGTTACTCACAATGAGCTTCAAATTGCCATTGGCCATGGGCTAAGTTGTCTTATCCCCATCAACATGTGTGCTGAGCAAGTCGATCCATTTTCTAGACATTGTTTATCTTGCCTAAGTCAGTGGGCGTTTTTTTTATGATATAACAATCTAATTAGGTTTATAGGCAAATCTCTAATTTCGGCCGGTTTCCTTAATAGTGTGGAGCCGTTAGGTCTTTTAAATCAGGATGATAAGCATCCCGATGGCATGTCTTTAACATCTTAGCTCGTCGGTGACCAGTTTGGAATGTGCCATGTGTTACCTCCATTTCCCTCCAATAGAAACTCTGACCTCTTGGAATTTTAATGAAACAATAAATATAGGTAATTCTTTTGTTTTTATCCCTCTAATCTTTAGTGTTTTGGGGAAACCCCTGCCCCCAATCCTGAAAAATTTTAAATCATTTGGGTAAAAAAAAAATTTCAATAAGGACAAGGGTTAAAAACGAGTCCCTATCCCTCAAACAAAAAATATTTAAATCCTAAAAGGGAATTACAAGTGTTTCTTTGAATCACTCCCTTATTACTCTTAGTTCCTTTAACACACATGGCAAAATTTACATAAATTAAAGTACTGCTTAGTATTAGTAGTAATTTTATTTTTATTATCGTTAAAAAACAATCATTTACTAATTTTGCTATTATTTTCGTGCAATAAAGTTATACGTGATTTGTCTCCTAATTAATGTATGGTAAATATTTAAAGGTTTAATATAAATTAATATTATTTATTTTTTTTTCAGATAGTATATAATGTGAATTTTAACGTTTTGAATCATTTATAGCCACCATTTAAAAAAATTCTTTTTAAAGACTTTATTTCTTGCTTGAAATGTTTTTCAGACAAATTTATAATATAAAATTAATTGGTTTTGAGTAAATTTTTTTTAATATTTAATTTTAATCCTTTATATTATATATTTGTTTTGTAAGTTCATCTTTATATAACTATAGATGCCATATTGCATTAAATTTTATTTATTTTTTTTGTAAAAAAATGATATTATTATATATAGATAGTGCTAATTTTTCTTCCCCATTCTATTTTATTATTTAAAATGTCAAAACTAACTATTTAATTAGAATTTTTTAATTACAATATATTCTTAGTAAAAAAATACTATTTTTTTCATTAGAATGTTTTTAGTTTTTTTTTATATAAAAAATTCATAATTTTATTGTTATTCTCATTATATTTTTTTACAAATTATTACGATTTTTTTTATCATTTTATTTTATAATCAAAAAATATTTAGATGGATATTTA